CTCCCTGTCCCTCTGCCTTAAAGCCCTGCAAGAAGTTGTTGAATATTAAGTGAGGTGGTTACCTCTGAGCAGAGAGACAACTTTTAAAGCAGCACTGGGTGGAACCATGCTGGAAGTGACAAAATCTTCCTGAAATTGTCCAGGCCTTTGATGCCTGGGCTGCCAGATGTCTCTTCAGGAATAGACACCCCTTTGTCTCAGCTACATTAACTTCCTTTTCAGGTTCTGTACCTGCTTAGCCAATTTCAGCAAAAAGAAGCAGCAGAGAAGAAACTGGAGGATTCACTAAGTGAGCAGGAGAAGCAGCTGCAAGAGAGACTCAGGTTCCAGGTAAGAGTGTCAGGATGTGGCCTGGGGCTGTGTCCCCTTCCTGACCCTTTGCTGTGCCAGCAGCAACAGGACTTGACCCTATAAACATGGTACAGGCTGCACCTTGTTCCTAGAGCCACAAGCTCCTGTGGAAGGGCAGGTTCTGTGATGAATTAAAGCAGAAATCAGTCCTAAAATACACCTAATTTGGAGATGAGCCTGAGAAATGGATTTTTGAGCTCCTCAGTGGTCTCTCTGAAGGATCCAATGCTCTCTGGTGCACTGGCAGCATTACTCATAAAACAAGGTGGCTGCACCAAGGATGTTTTTGAGCAGTCAGAGCTGATCTGGTGGAGAACACAAAGCAGCTCCTCTGATCTTGCAAGAAAGACCCAAACAAATCTGTCCCAAACAACTCTTTGTGCTCCACCCACACAAAACTACAGATTTCCTCTTGTGAACAGGAGGAAGAGCTGGAGAAAATGAGGGAGGTGTGTGAGAAGAACCAGGAGCTTCTCCATGAAAATGACACCCTTAAACAGGTAGGTCTGGGTACAGACACAAGCCATGGGAGCTGCTGGGGGGTTGGGTTCATGCCTTTTCCAAATTTAACTCCTTTTTTTCTCTCCCTCTTAACAGAAACTGATGCTGCTCCAAGTTGCCAGTGGACAGAAGCTCCACAACATGCAGCAAATCCCATCAGAGTCCCCAGATTCTTCTTTGGATTACATTCCACCCAAAGTAAAGATGCTCTGGAGCAGTTTTGGTGTTGTGCCTGAGTTCTTAGCAAAAGCTGAGGTTGACTGTTCATAACCTGGGGTTATTTTTTTCCTTCCAAGTCCTCTCTCAGGCAATCCTTCAGGTTACTGGTGTCAGAGCACTTCTGCAATTGTGCCTGGGTTCTTAGCAAAAGTTGAGGTTGACTATTCATAACCTGGGGGTTTTTTTTTTTCCTTCCAAGTCCTCTCTCAGGCAATCCTTCAGGTTACTGGTGTCAGAGCACTTCTGCAACGAGCTTGTAGTGGTTCTTAGATGTTTAAAAAACCCCCACCCAACCTCCAAACCTGTTTCTTCAGTGCCTCATTGCCTGCTCCTCACTGATCCAGGGGTTTCCTCTGTAGCCTTGCCAGCCTTTGAGCTACAGAGTGAGGCATCTCATAGAGAATGTAATCATTGCCTTGCAAAAGAGCTCACAGAGGAGTAAAATCTCAAACTTTTTTTGCCAAGACTGACAGAGATCTGTGAATTTTCTAAGGATTTATCCACTGTATATTTTTACAGTCTCTAGCAGTTGACTGAATTTTTAATCCCTGCCAGCTTAATCTTTGGTTTCCTCCCTAACCCCACGTCCTCCATGGCTGTCTGGGAGGAAAGGGGCTGTGGTGGGGAGACTCAGAGGTGCCTCAATCAACTGTCAACCTGCTGCTGTTTCTTCTGGGGGCTCAACAACTCTCTTGTCCTCTCTGTGTGCAGTCCAAGGCTCGGAGGCAAACGGGAAGACCCCAGGCCCTGAACCCTGTGATGCCTGTGGAGGAGCTGTTCTCTGACTCAGAGTCTGGAGGGGAGCTGGAGGATACAGAGTGGGTGCCAGTAAAAGCAGTCAAAGGAGCCAGGAAAACCATCCTGGGGGTAAGATCCTGTGTCTCTGAGGTCTTGTTGTTCCATGACTTGTGTCTCCAGTGTTGTGAAAAGCCTCAATCCAACCACACTGTTGGTGGTGGCTGTTGAGGATCTCCTCACAAAGACCAAGTGTTGCCTACACTCAGCAACACCTTTCCAAAGAGCTTTTCAGTGCACAGCTTCTACTGGGACACGAGCTCTGTCCTGCCAGCAGCTTCATGGAGCCTGTTTTTGGGGGGGAGGGAAGCCCTGCTGTGTATCCCTCTTCTCCTGTGCTGTGCTGCAGCCCCTCATCCTGCCAGCAGCCTCAGCTCCCATCTCCTCATGTCACTCTGGGCCTGGAGCTTCAGCTGCTCAGTTCCTGGTGGGACAGAAGAGAGGATCTGAGAGTGTTCCTCAGTGAGAACCTCTTTGGGCTGGCAGGACTCTGCCCTAAGCTGTGTCCTTCCCCTTCCCCTGGGGGGTCACTCCTCCCTGGGTGACTACAGCAGTGGGTGGAGTTTAAGGTCTGGCTGTAGTTTCCTTTCCCTGGAGGTTGTCAGCCTGATAAACTTTGAACTGGTGGCGTGGGGCTGGGGGAGTTCTGGCCCCTGTTCTAGGGAGGAGGAGGAGGAGGATTTGTGCTCAGAACTGGGCTCCTCTCAGCTCACTGCTCCCTGCAGCAGCCACGCCGGGGAGCCCTGAGGGGCAGCCACTGGGGGTTTGCCTCCTGCTGGGAGGGGTCAACTCACTTCTGCCCCCCCAAAAACCCCCCCAGAGCTGGGGGGAGGGTCCTGCCCTGTCCCTCAGAGCTGTTCTCTCTGGCAGTGCTCGTGCAGGGGCTGGTGTGGCAACAGGCAGTGTGGCTGCAGGAGGCAGAGGCTGAGCTGCGCCGGCGCCTGCGGCTGCGACCCGGCCAAGTGCAGGAACAGAGACCCCGGGGCTCCTGTGAGTAGTGCTGGGGGGCTGGGGGGGAGGGGGCTGCACCCACACCCCCCCCC